TTTCTAGGTATTAGCAATGCAATGGTTTTAATGCATGCATTAACTCAATTAAAGACCCAATTACCCCTCAAAACCTTTTTTACATCTTTTCCACCATAATAGTAGAGGGTATCTTTGTAAATAATTACTTTATGCAATACATGCTATTTTTAATGCATCAAACCAAACAATGCATAAAAATAATTTACGTATAATTAACGCAAGCATAACTAATACATGCATTACAAATACAAGCATTACTAATACACTCTATTTAGCATTATTTTCATACACTCTACCAAAAATGACCCCTTAGTACCTAGATCCTACCTTCTTTGTTCTCATATCACTTAATTATATAAACTATGTTTTTGCTCATTTGGCATCTTTTTGAGAAGGTAATTTTTTTAGTTTTGAGGACTCATTTGGCATCTTTCAATCTTTAGTCTTTAATGTAATGTCAATTGCTTGGTTAAGCAAACTATACCAATCTCCGAGGCACAAACATCTACAGGCTACCATCTAGACCAGAAGATTCAAACCCTTATACTGTGACATCCACAATTCAACAAACCTAATTAATTCTACAAGGCTATCTAAGTTTTTTGTTCTGCATGGATGTATCCATAAAGTTATCCTCAAAATTTGGGTTAAACAATTTATCAAAATTACATTTTCTCTTTCCTTAATTTTAATATCTTTTGTCAAAACTAGTTGCCATCTGAAAATGACCATTAATACATTTAACCTACCTTTTGACCTTTTTACCAATGTTCTCTGTTAGTTGTGCTAACTTGTATATTTCTGTCCCTCATTCGTGTGTGTCTCAACTTTTGGTACAAGTCACCTAAAGCTTTACTTTGGACTTTACTAATGCTTTCTTAGCTTCTCTCTTAAGTGCTCTTACACTCTTCCATATCACTCCATCTTCAATTGTTGGTAGATTCTTACACATATCTCTTTTACACCACCCTAAACAGTACAACAACAATGCCTCAATCCCAACTTAAGTTGAGATCGGTTATATGAATCCTCGTTTCTTCATTCGGGCTCATATCATTATCATACTAAATAAAATAAAAGTGAAAATTAAGTTATATATATATAATATTAAAAATTCTCTAAAAGTCTAAAAAACCTATCATCAACTAGAAGCTATTCCTATATGGATCTATTCCTTCCATTGCACCCTATCTTTAGCTAAGTTTGCATTGGTTCCAAGCATTTGTAGGTTTTTCGAGACAACTTTCTTAAGTGTAATATAAGGTCTACCCCGTCCCCTTTTAATACCTTCATCTGTGTATCAACACAAGACATACCCAAACTATCTCAAGCGACCTCACATTGTATCCTGAATGTGTGCTACTTGCACCTTCTGACGAATGTGGTCATTTCTAATCTTATCTAATTTGGTATGACTATAAATCCATCTTAGCATCCGCATCTTGTGGATATGTTCGACTTTAGCAACCCAACATTCACTACCATATAACATGATCGGGTCTTACAGTTGTTCTATAAAACTTACCTTTCAATTTGGTAGGCAGTCTTCTATCACATAATACCCCGATAACACTTGTCTGTTTCAACAATCCAGTTTTAATACTATGAGTAACATCTTTATCTATCATTCCATCCTCTTGAAATGAGACTAAATGTCTAAATTGTTTACATTTTGGCACCGCAATCCCATCTAGTCTCACCTCAACTTCTCTCTTCTCATTCTGACTAAAATTGAAATGCATGTATTCAGTCTTACTTCCACTTATCCTAAAACCTCACTCGCTAACAGTATATATGTAATAAATTCTATATTTTATTTTTTCTGAAATAGGAAGTCATTGTAAACATTTCTCATGTGCATACTACACTCCATCAATCACCTCGACTTTTGTTTATGAGAATTGTCAACCTTTTTTACTCAGACTGCTCACCATAATGAATAATCCATTGTATGGACAGCTTCTAGGAGAATCAAGAATAATATTCATGAGCATCAAAAGTTTAGAATATAAGAAAAGTTCTTAACTATCCAAGCACTAATGATGTCTGAAAAGATTCATTAGACTTTAGATAATAGAATACACAAAAATAAATAGACAAAACCAAAAAGGTTCAAAAATCTAGTCTTACGCCAAATAAGCCTACTCATTACTTTCATTATGTACACAGTATAACAAACAAGAAAGAGCAGTAACATGGACACTTAAAGATAAATCTGAATACACTGGTTGCATGAGGATTGATTTAGTTAAAATAAAAATGAGACAAGGAAGTAATAATGTCAAGAGGAATAGCAGTACTGCAGTACAAGAAATGCTTGCTTAAAAAACATGTCGAGTCAACTTTTTAGGAAACGGATCGAACCTGCAGCTTAAACCAAGTAATGCATAGAAAGCATAATGATTCACAGGAGACTCAGAGCCATGAATGTCAAAGTTTTAGGCGCTACTGTGATACATTATTGCTATGTAATAGGTGGGTCCAGTGGATAATAAATGCTCACACAGACAAGTGTCCATACCTTTGCTAATTCTCTTACTCCGTCCGCATATTGTTCTTTCTGTAGTAATGCAAGACCCAACATATAGTGCGCCTGTCAAATCATCCTCCTATTATCATCTTTAGAGAACTAAGAATCTCTAGCTCTACAAGCTTAAAAGACTGAAACTCAGGGTTAAGAAGAGACTGAAACAATTTGGACATTGTTTGATTTAGGGTTCTACACTCTAACTAGCTAAATTTATTTTCTAAAATTTCGAACTTACAGATTCCTCAATTTGTCCAGTTAATTTACAAATGAACAATTCTCATGAATCTTTTCAGTATAGTTTTTATGAATGGCAAGTGTGCTGGTCTACTTTATGCACCAAGATTTCCCCCCTCTACCAAAACATCAATCAGCTATGAATAACTCCTTTGGAAACACCCCAATTCAGAGAACCCCATAAATTATGCAAGAGTCATGGGTTCTAAGAGTTCTTCGGGAGCTAAAAAGAGGATTTGTCTACCTCAGAGATTCCACTGTTGGATTCACCAAGGAAGAACACACAGGGCTAGGCATTCGGTAATTCGGATTTTACGGTATTCAGTTTTCGGAATTGTTGTACCGAACAACGAACTGAATTAATTTGGTTCGGTTTTTTTAAAATTCGGTTTGATTTTTTGTAATTAGGTTCGGTTTATTAAATTCGGTTTTTGTTATGGGCCTGTCCAAATAGCAGCAATTTGAAATCACTGGTCGCGTTCGCTGGTTGCTGGTCTCGGTCGCTGCCCTGGTCGGCGGAGGCTGCCCTTATCAGCGGTCGAGTGCAGAGGAAATTTGGAATTGGGAGACGAAGAGTGCTAAGGGAAAAACAAAAATGAAAACCTAATCTAACTTATTAGTTGCTAAGGGCAAAAAAGAAAATAAAACTTTAAAGGCTTAGTAGTATGAAAAATTACATAATATTTATTATAGTATATATATTAGTGTGTATATGTCGGTTAAACCGAAATACCGAATTTACGAAAAATATGTTACTGAAATACGAACCGAAATACCGAAAATACAAAAACATATTACCGAAAACCGAACCAAAATATCGAAAAAAAAATTGGTTCCGCCCCACACAATGCAAAGCGAACCCCAGTATTTAAGTGGAGAAGGGTAGAGGGGCGGGCCCATTATCCACCGAGTTTAGAAGGCTGTGGATTGGTCCAAAGGGCAGGTCACAGACGGATTTTTCGATTATCAAAAAAAAAAATTGGTTTGGTTCAGTATTTCGTGTTTTCGATATTTATGCCCAGCCCTAGAACACACCCTAATGGTAGAAACTTTTCACCTCAATGATAGGTAAGTTCAAGAAAATTAGACCCTCCATAGATTGCATTTGACTGATTCAATCAGCCAGTCTCCCTCAAATAGGGTTGGGCATAAATATCGAAAACCTGAAATACCGAACCGAATTATTTCAGTATTTCGGTTTTGGTATTTAGGTTTTTGGTTCGGTTTTTAGTAATATGTTTTTGTATTTTCGGTATTTCGATTTGGTTTTCGATAACATGTTTTCATAAATTCGGTATTTTAGTTTAACCGAAATATACACACTAATATATATAATATAATAAACATTATGTAATTATTAATACTACTAAGTCTTTTAAGTTTTATTTTCTTTTTTGCCCTTAGCAACTAATAAGTTAAATTAGGTTTACATTTTTGTTTTTCCCTTAGCACTCTTCGTCTCTTCCAATTCCAAATTTCTGTCACACTCTTCCAATTCCAAATTTTCAATTTCCGCCGCACTCGACCGCCGACGAGGGCAGCCTCCAGCGACCACCGACCAGGGAAGCAATCAGCAACCGCAACCAGCAACCAGTGAGCGCGATCAGCGACCAGTGATTTCAACAGGCAACAAACAACCGAATTTAGTAAACCAAACCGAATTACAAAAAAATCGGTTCAGTGTTTGGTACAACAATCCAAAAACCGAAATAAAAAAAAAAAAACCAAACCGAATTACCGAATGCCCAGCCATACCCTCAAAGGAACAATCAAAATCGTAGCCTATGACATGCACCATTTATTTGTTGATTTTGATTTATAAGAGGATCACAGAAACATTTACAGTAGGAATTTTCTTCCTATTTGCGACACGCTAATGATACTCTGGAAATGGACCAAAAATTTCAAACCAAAAAAGAAACATCTTTAGCCCCCGTATGAATACCTTGCCAAGACTCCCATGGCATTTCTTGAATGGGATGCTTTGTGTAGAATTGTGGATCCAATTTGTAATCCTATTATCACAAAGCTACTTTGTCCAAATCGAGACCAACAACTGCTAAGGTTAAAGTGGAGATCGACTTGACCAAACCACTTGTTAGAATAGAAATAAGTATATACAAATCCTAATTAGAATAGGAATAGGAATAAGAATAGGAATCCTAGTTGGAAAAGGATTCCAATGTAGTGTCTATAAATAGGATCTCAATGTAATAATGTAGATACACAATTCAATAATATATTTTCTCCTATATTTCTCACATGGTATTAGAGCAATGGTGAGAAAATTAAATCAGTCGTCACTGTGCAATTTTCCGGTGACCTAAATTGCTGTCCTAGAAATAAAAAATCAGCAATTATTCCGGCCATTTTTTTTCCAGCAGTTTTTTTTTTTCTAGTGGGGTTGCCTCTTGATTCCAAGGCTGGCCATATAATTTTTTTTTCCTAATTCCGACCAGTTTTTGGCGACCAGATTATTTTTTTCCGGCAGTCAGATCTTTTTCAGCAGTCAGATTCTGGCCCCAAATTTCTATTTTATTTCCAGCAGTCAGACTCTTGCCCCAAATTTTTATTTTATTTCCAGCAGTCGGATCTAAATATTTTTTTGTGTGAGAATATTCTAATTTCACAATATGTCATTCCGGATTGATATTTTTGGCTCTAAAAATATAGGAAGTTCAAGTGCTATGATCACTTCAGAACCATTAATGGGAAGCTCAAACTATTTAGCTTGGGCTTCGTCGGTTGAGTTGTGGTGCAAGGGTCAAAGCGTCCAAGATCACTTAACCAATAATGCTTGTGTGGTAAATGAAAAGGCAAAGGCTAGTGAGGCAGATGATAAAGCCAAAGCACAATGGGAGAAGGTTGATGCTCAATTATGTAGTCTCCTATGGCGATCTATCGATTCCAAGTTAATGCCCTTGTTTCGCCCATCCCAGACATGTTATTTAGTTTGGGAAAAGGCACGTACTTTATATACTAATGATATATCTCGATTCTATGATGTGATATCTAGAATGACCAACTTAAAGAAACAAGAATCCGATATGTCTACTTACTTGGGACAGATACAAGTGATCATGGAGGAATTTGAAACAGGCATCAATATAAATGTGGAAAAACAACAAGAGCAAAGACAGACGTTGTTTCTAGTTCTTACACTTGTTGGACTTCCTCCTGACCATGATTCAGTGCGTGATCAGATTTTAGCTAGTCCTGCAGTACCTACAATTGATGAATTATTCTCTCGTCTACTTCGTCTAGCCGCGCCTCCTAGTCACAAAGTAGTTTCATCATCCACCATTGACTCCTCTATTCTGGCATCTCAAGCCATAGACAAACGAACATATCAGCCTATGGAGAATCGACGAGGAAGTGGTCGTTTTGGAAGAGCTCGATCCAAGTGTAGTTATTGTCATAAGCTTGGGCACACTCGTGACATGTCATATTTTGCATGGTCCAGCACCTAGTTATGATCCTATTGCCATAAAGGAATATAATGAGTCCCTTCGGAATCGCGCAAGTAAGCCAACATCTCCAAAAGTAGCATCATGCTCAACCTGATCAACCACCCAATAATGCTCATATTGCTCAGGCAGAATATGCTGAGTTCCTTCGATATCGAGCAAGTAAGCAAACGTCTCCACAAGTAGCCTCGGTTACTCAGCCTAATGTTCATGTTGCGGGTAATTCTTTTGCTTGTGTTTCAATCTAGTACTCTTGGATCATGGGTTATGGACTCAGGCACTTCTAATCATATTTCTGGTAACAAATCACTTATGTCTGATATTGTTTATTCACAATCTCTTCCTGCTATTACTTTAGCCAATGGGATCCAAACAGAACCAAAAGGGGTTGGAAAAAGCCAAACCGCTCTCTTCTGTCCCTCTAGACTCTGTTCTTTATGTCCCTAGTTCTCCTTTCAATCTAGCATCTGTTAGTCGTTGGACGCGTGCCTTACATTGTGGCATAATTTTTTTGATGATTATTTTCTAATGCAGGACCACAGTACGGGATAGCTGATTGGCACAGGACATAAATCACAAGGCCTTTACTATCTTACCTCTTCAAATTCCTTCACAGCATGCTCCGTTACAGATCCTCTAGCCCTAATGCACAAACGTTTGGGACATTCGAGTCTATCCAAACTACATAAGATGGTGCCTAGTTTGTCTAGTTTATCCACATTAGATTGTGAGTCGTATCAACTTGGGAAACACATCCGTGCTACATTTTCCCGTAGTACTGAGGGTCGTTCAGAGTCTATTTTTTCATTAGTCCATTCTGATATTTGGGGTCCTAGTAGAGTCAGTTCACCCTTAGGTTTTTTTTATTTTGTTAGTTTCATTGATGATTATTCAAGATGCACTTGGGTTTTCTTAATGAAAGATCGTTCTGAGTTATTTTCTATATTCAAAAGTTTCTTTGCTGAAATACAAAATCAGTTCGGTGTTTCTATTCGTACTTTTCATAGTGATAATGCCTTAGAATACTTATCCTCTCAGTTTCAGGAATTTATGACTCACCAATGAATTATTCACCAAACATCTTGTCCGTATACCCCTCAACAGAATGGTGTAGCAGAAAGGAAGAATAGGCATCTCATTGAGACTACTCGCACTCTCCTCATTAAATCCCATGTTCCGCTGCGTTTTTGGGGGTGATGCAGTCCTTGCATCTTGTTATTTAATTAATAGAATGCCCTCATCTTCTATTCAAAATCAGGTTCCACATTCCATATTATTTCCTCGCTTACATCTATACTCTATCCCCCCTCGTGTCTTTGGGAGCACATGTTTTGTTCATAACTTAGCCCCAGGTAGAGATAAATTATCCCCTCATGCTCTCAAATGTGTCTTACTTGGTTACTCTCAAGTTCAAAAAGGGTACCATTGCTATTCACCTGATCTTCGTCAATACCTTATGTCCACCGATGTCACATTCTTTGAGTCTCAACCTTATTATACATCTTCTGATCATTCTGATGTCTCTGAGGTCGTACCCATACCTCAGGTCTTGCATGTACCGACTTTTGAGGAATCTATAGTTACTTCTACATCTCCAGTGGTAGTGCCACCACTTTTGACTTATCATCGTCGTCGGCGCCCAACACTAGTCCTAGATGATTCATGTCCTCCTACTGCGGACTTGCCTTCTCCTAGTCAATCGATTGCACTTCAAAAAGGTATACGATCCACTAGAAATGTTAATCCACATTATACTTTCTTGAGTTATCATCGTCTCTCATTACCCCATTATGCCTTTGTATCATCTTTGTCCTCTATTTCCATTCCTAAGACTACAAGTGAGGCACTTCTCATTCTAGATGGAGGCAGGCTATGATTGATGAGATGCCTGCTTTACATAGGTACTTGGGAGCTTGTTTCCCTTCGAACAGGTAAATCTATTGTTGGTTGTCTTTGGGTTTATGCAGTCAAAATTGGTCCAGACGGTCAGGTTGATCAGCTTAAGGCTCGTCTTGTTGCCAAAGGGTATACTCAGATATTTGGACTCGATGATAGTGATACTTTCGCTCCCGTAGCTAAAATAGCATTTGTTCGTCTTATTTTGTCCATGGCTACGGTTCGTCATTGGCCTCTGGACATTAAAAATGTTTTTCTACATGGTGATCTTGCGGAAGAAGTCTATATGGAGCAACCACTTGGTTTTGTTGCTTAGGGGGAGTCTAGTAACCTTGTATGCCAATTGCGTAAGTCAATCTATGGTCTAAAGCAGTCTCCTCGAGCCTGGTTTGGAAAGTTTAGTAAAGTAATTCAGGAGATCGGCATAACTCGTAGTGGAGCTGATCACTCTGTGCTTTATCGGCATTCTGCACCAAATCAGTGTATTTATTTGGTTGTTTATGTTGATGATATTATTATCACTAGCAATGATCAATATGGTATCACTAATTTGAAGCAACATCTCTCTAAGCATTTTCAGACTAAAGACCTTGGCAGACTGAAGTATTTTCTAGGTATTGAGGTTGCTCAGTCTAGATCAGGTATTGTTATTTCTCAACACAAGTATGCCTTAGACATTTTTGAGGAGACAGGAATGATGGGATGTAGGCCCATTAACACTCCTATGGATCCGAATGTTAAACTCCTTCCAGGACAGGGGGAGGCACTTAGTAATCCTGAAAAGTATATGTGGAATAAGATAGTTGAATAATTTTATTCATATCTTTCTATGTCATATACAAGGCTTTATATACATGAGAGATTGTGGAACAGAATCACCTAGATCCCATGAAATCTGGGATTCCATAAAATCATATATTTTACTAAAAAGAAGAAAAAGATATTCTAGATTACAACAATTATCTTTAAGATCTTAAGGGATCAAATCTTGATATGGAGAATATCCTCTATCAGCCAACACTCCCCCTCAAGCGGGTGAATGAATATCTTCCATTCCTAGCTTGCTTATTAGATCTTAAAACACATTATTTGGCAGTCCTTCTGTTAAAACATCGGCCACATGATCTTTTGTAGATACAAATGGTGTACAAATGAGTCCGCTATCTAATTTCTCCTTAATGAAATGTCTATCTACCTCAATATGCTTAGTGCGATCATGTTGTATAGGATTATGAGCTATACTTATTGCTGATTTATTGTCACAATATAGTCTCATAGGTCCTTCCTATCTTATCTTCAAATCATCAAGGATTATCTTTAACCATAACAACTCACAAACTCCCATAGCCATAGATCTAAACTCGGATTCTGCACTTGATCTGGCTACTACATTTTGTTTTTACTCCTCCAAGTCACCAGATTTCCTCCTAAAAAAGTGCAATATCCAAAACTTGACCTTCGATCTACTAATGAACCAGCATAGTCTGCATCAGTATAAGCCTCTAAAATCATGTCTCCTCCTCTTTTGAATAGTATTCCTTTTCCTGGACTTCCTTTAAGATATTGTAGAATCCTGTTGACAGCTTGAAGATGCATTTCTCTAGGATCATGCATAAATTGGCTAACAACACTTACAGCAAATGCAATGACCGGCCTTGTATGGGACAAGTAAATCAATTTCCCTACAAGCCTTTGATACAAGCCTTTATCTACCACAGAATCTTCTGGAGCATTGCACAATCTATGATTATATTCAATTGGTGTACCCACTGGTTTACACCCTAATTTTCCTGTTTCCTTCAGCAAATCAAACAAATATTTTTGTTGGAAAATAAAGATTCCTTGTTTTGAGTGTACCACTTCAATTCCCAAAAAATACTTTAATTTTCCAAGCTCTTTGATGTCAAATTCCTTGAGTAAACACCTCTTCAAATTTTGTAGCTCCTCTGAATCATCACATGTTACTATGATGTCATCCACATAAACCAACAATGCTGTCACTTTTCCTGTTTTTGAGTGTCGTATGAACAAGGT